CTCCTCTTCGTAATCCTTACAACTTCTGCAACATCTTCGGAAAGGTACGCCGAGCCTTTCTGCATATTTTTCTATTAGACAGTGCCCGGTTAGAGCTCCCACAACGTTTGATATATCCCACCTTCTAAGAGGGTGTACACTTTGTGACCGCTTCCGATCCCATTTAGGCGAAGAATGATAGAATACAAGATTTTTGTGTGACGCCACACTGTTTCAGTTGTGAGAGAGAAATAAAAAACTTGTTCACGTTTTTTATTTCTCTCTCACAACTGAAACAGTGCTAGAAGGAAAAGAAACGTTAACAATCAAGTGTGAGGTTACACAAGCGGAATAGCGGTAGGAGATGGGCGCCCCCTTTATTCTCTACATCGTGCGTTTAGACCTAGTCTACCCGGAAATTCGACAAGACCAAGACATGACCAGGGACGCAAGTGAGGTGAAATCTGCTCTGCTTGGGCATATAGGCATTAATCCAGAAGTCGAGTTTTCATTTTTTGGTTGTCGAATTCAAAGCTGAACTAACAGAAATCAGCAAAGCGACTGATCAATTCTCCTCTTAAATTGCTTCTTGAGAGTGACAAATACACATCTAGAATAGTCATGGAGTGTAGACACATGGAGACATGGAGTGTAGACATATTCTAATATTCTAAATCAGGGGTGCCCAAAAAATTTAACAACACCTTCGTTGTCGGAGTTACAAAAATACTTATTATATAAAACTATTTTAGTACTGAACTAACGACAAGGCAATGATAAGTAATTTTGGGCCCCTTTGCATGCCTGCTGTGATCATTTTGCATATAGTGCTTCCAAACATGCTGTGTTTCTTGTAAGTGAGCCAAGGCGAGCAACACTGATGTTGTTGTTAATCGAAAAGGCGAAAAGCAGCAGGTACGCAGACCACATGTGCAGGATGTCACGCCCAGCGTTGCCAGGTTGACGTTTTTAACGTCATTTGGACGTTTTTTGTATCCTGTTGACGTTTGGACGTTTTTTGTGTAAAAAATTACGTTTTTTAACTTCCCAGTAATTTTTCTTTGTTACTAAATCTTGCAAGAGGAACTGATTTTTAATTATTTTCTTAATAAATCTTTACAATCTTTGTGTTTTGCTGCAGCTGCTTCAAAAGATTTTTTTTTTTATTCTTGGACTAAGGATCCCGTGTTCAAAGGCTGGTTGTGTAAACACTTGAGGCTACGAGGCTTGCTGTAATGTTTGCAATTGCACATTAAAAGCCGAATCAGGAAGAGACGATCTATTGCAACACGCACGCTCGCAAAAGCATCAAAATAGCTGTGCAGCATAAAACGTCAGAAAAAAGTAGGCGACTTTTTTAAGACTACATTGAAAATGTAATGAACGCAAAAAATACTGAAATATTGCTATGCTTCTTCCTAACAGAACGTAATTTAGTATTTTAGACAACCGAAATGTCTACAAGAAACAAATATTAAAAATCAACGCCCCTTTAAACTGGCACATTATTGCCCTGAAATTTAATGGGCTATCAAACTGCATACTCAAAAAAAAAATCTAAAAAATCTGAATAAAAAGTTGAAAATCTAGCTGAAAATTTGCAGATTTTTTATAATTTGTGCACAGTTTTTGTGGATTTATATTTTGTTTGTTAAAGAGCTTGGCTTTTATGGAAAAATAATATATATTAAATAAACGAAAGAGAAACAGCCAAAATCGATCAAAATGTTGATGACTTAATCAGCTGATCACAAATGTATGTATAAAATTATTTTTATATTAACGATCTCAAACCAGTTTACAATGAATGTTAAATGTGCTCTGTCGAATTGACATTTTAATATACCTTACGTACATATACACCTTTGTACACAATAAAAGTTTAATAAGAACAATTGTGGAGTTCCACACCAAAATGCTACATTTCCATCATAAAAATTGTTTCAAATTGGTGCTTTTACGGCAATCGTGTGATCTCAGCTTTACGTTTTGGTGCGATCGAGTGATTTCGATACGACTCAATAAAGGTTTGGTTGCTTTATCTCGGGTTCTCTGTTAAAATATGGACACATACCAGTAAATGCAAGGAATTTGCATTAACATTTCGAGTTTTGGAAATGAAACGTTTTGGTGTGGAGTTCCACAATTTTTTCTATTCATTTGAAAAAGACGTTTTTGGGTAGGAAATGACGTTTTTTCAGACCAAGAGTGACGTTTTCTCATGACGAAGACCTGGCAACACTGGTCTCGACACGTCTTCTCTTGTGCATAGTTGTCACAATGTAGTGGGAGTCGGGTGTGTCGAAAAATATGTTAGCTACTGCTCCGCATTTTCGAGCTTCCACCGACATTCATTCCATCACTACTTTCTTGAATGTCTAGCTGAACTGAGTAAAGCTAGAATCTATAATTTTGTGACTCTGCAAATTGAGCAGAGCAAATTGAGTTAAAAGTTGCACTGTTAAACGTCCCTCTAACATTAGCAAAGGCCTCATTGTGTACTCCTAAGCTTCTAGCACCACTCCGATCTTTATTCCAAGGTCGTGTAGAATTGAATCACGGAACTTTCCACTCTGGTACGCATGTTGGTGAGTTCTAAGGGGGTTGTCCATTACTGATCTAATGAACTTTTTTACCAGCGCTACAGACTATTCAGTATGAAGAATGCCAAAATGACTGGCGCATAATCACAAATCCACGGGTTGGGAATGTATAAGAGCAGATTAAAATTGAATTTCACTCTGACATATGTAAGAGGCACATCCGTCCAAAATGGCACTATGCCACACTTTTTGGTCGAAGTAACTATCCTAAGCCAGTTAGGTAGCATTTCAGTTTTCTGTGCACTGGAAAACTTCCAAATGTTATTACAGCGGCAATCTTTTTTTTTGTTTTCTTCCCCAAATAAGTACTGTGGTTGGACACACGAAAAAATATTCTTTTTTTTAATGGTATTTAAATTAGTATTATATTATATGTACATAGCAAATTTTCACAAGATATTGAAATGACAATGAATTTTGTCATTTGAATAAGTCCATATGGTAACAAATTTAATTACTATTTTTATAAAACTAATGCTGTGATTCCACTGCGCATTAAAGAAAAAAAATTTATGATAAATTTGGGCATAAAAAAGATGTCATTAAGTGAAATAATAAAATTCACTCAGTCAGTTTCCACTGCCATTTGTTTAAAGCATAGTATCCAGCTGCCAGGAAAAACAAAAAATACCTATGTATTTACGTACGTATGTATATACGAAAAAACGCTCAGGGAATGAAAAAGAAAATGTGTTCTAACAAAATTTCTTAAACTGATTTATAGTTCTCAAGAACAATTCTACTTTTTCAAGTGACAGAAAGAACTAAAAATATTTCTTGAGATTTTTTTGTAGACAATTTTTCCTTATGTTTGACGTTTCAATGCCTTGTGGAAATCCGGTATAATTATATGGGTATTTTTTGTACCAAACTTTTCCATAAAAAAGTAGAAATCTAGCTTTATCTATCATGAAATAGGAGCAAAATGAATTTGAATACCCGCCAAGTGGCCCTCTGGGCTAGATACTACCTAAATCAACCCCAGCACGAACTAGCGAGAGATGTACAAAAAAAAAAAATCAATCTGCATCTTGTATTTTTACTTGATTAAAGTATTATATATATTAGCTAATATTAAAATTGGAGAAATAAAATTCTCTTCTCAAATTAAAAAGCTGTTAAAAAATATTACCAGTATTTTGCATTTGTATTTTTATTTAATTCCACATTTAGCTTAAAACAAATATTCGCATTAAACTGTTTAGAAAAATGTATTTGAATTAGAGCTGTGCGATTAATTGATTATTCAAAATTTTAATTAATCATAAAGTAAATAGCTTATTTATTCGATTAATTGAAAATTATGATTACTCAAAAGTTCAGTTACTCGAATAATCAAGATTTTGATTAACCAAAAACAAAACTATTTGAGTAATTTGCTTTATGATTAATCAACATTTTGAGTAGAATGAGTAATCAACATTTCAAAGTACTCTTTACATATAATGCAGTTGAAGTTCCTTGATACTTTGAAAACAACGCTTCTGTTTTCAAAAATTAAGATTAAATATTTTTTTCATATACAGAATGTAAAAAATAAAATAAGCAAACTCCTTTAACGAGCAAAATTAATTTTTTTGAGTAATCATATTTCAAGTAACTCGATCAATCGTCGTTTTGAGTAACCAAAATCTTGATTACTCGAGTACCAGCCCTAATTTTAATGCAACGCAAATTGCCCGCTAATTCTTAGCGCACATAATTTATAATCTCCTGCCACCCCCTTTTAAGCATCGGCAACCTTAGTGACCTACTTCCTGGCTGTATTTTTTATGACCATGAGTTTTACGGTAACTACACTTAAAGAAATTGGCAAAGAAAAGTGCAAACAAAAAGGCAATGCACTGCTCCCACTCCTCCTAATTAACTGCCTTTCGGTTTCTAAAGCCATGTGCGTCACATTTTGCATGGTACTTCCCCATTGCTGCTAAATGCAACAAATGATTACGTGGGAGAACTAAAGCGGTGAGTTGCAGCTCGGCAAATTTCGCGAACAAAAAAAAAAACGGAAAACGATTTAATGGAATGTGACTCCGCTTAGCATCGTTTAGCTTAGAATTTGCAGAGGGACACACACCCAGTTTGCCAATATTCTCTGGCAGGTGGAGGTCTTCTACATAGCCGTTTATTTGAAGGCTATCCTAACGAGCACGGAGTTTAGCAGCAGTTTTAATTCACTGAACTCAGCATTCACTCAGCAAGTTTTCGCCTCTCGCCCCTAATTATATTTTTAAGTTTGTTTATTAACATAGAAGTTATTTTTTTAAGATTTATTTTTTTAAATGTTTCTTTTTTATGTTAAATCTTATTTTCGTTATTTTCTTTAATTTTATTTTATGTTCACTCGATTTGCACGTTGGTTGAAATTCTGCGAAATCCGAAAAATATCGTTGTTCCTCATACACAAACACACACTAGGTCACGTAGGGCTAGTCAAGATGTTTCGCTTATGTCACGCAGTGTTGACAATTTGGCAGTGCCAGTGCGTCGGTAAGTACACAAATTAATACTCTAACAGCATTTAAAAAAATATTAATGTAAATATGTATCTATATGTATAACTATGCACATACAAATGTATGTACCTATGTATAAACAATTTAACAGCTAAATTTATTAACCATTTTCAGACTTGAGTTCCGTTTTTATTAATTTGGTGTATGTATGTAGCATGCTCTCGAATTTCCATGACTGTACTTACAAACATATTTATGTAGTTGGTATGACTTATACATAAATTACATATAAAAATGTTATTCGCATGTTTTTCAAATAAAAACCAAATATGAAGTTTTGCACAAAAGATCACTATATTAATTAATTAAGTAAATTATTATTACCATATTGATACCCAAAATAGCAGACATACTTACATATTTATTGACATTTTTACATAAAATCAAATTGCATTTTTTAGTATAGTATTCTATCCTTGGACAAAATAAATATGCTTCAACTACACATTTTCCATCTTTTTTCTTCTATGTGGAAACAGCGAAAACCTTTTTTTCAGTATTTTCAGCGCTTTTTAAGGGCGCGAGAGCAGAAAATGACTAGTTGTTTGTCTCAGCTATGTAGCTTTGTACCTTAAAATTAAGGAATGAGCGACTAAAGGTCTGATTATGCATACTTCGCTTAACTTCGCACAACCATTTGTATCAGTGCAATAAAAATTTAACTTAAGAAAATGTGAAGCAAAATATCCTTATCATATCCTTAAGTTTTAAAAAGTTGTGCTGATTTATGGGTAATGGAATACGTACAAAATACATACAAAGTACATACGAAATTACAGTTTAAGGTTTATGCGAAGTTGTGCGAAGTTATGCGAAGTATGCATAATCCGACCATAAAAAGAAAAAATTTCACATAATTTTATTAATTTGCAACAGTTGACGAGCAACGCACGCGAAAAGTTGAGAGTTGGCCATCTTTCTGCTTTGTGTTAGCGTTAGCATTGTCGAATTTTGGCTATGTGAAGGGCTGCATTTGAATTCATATATTCATAGTGACCTGTTGAAGTGACGCCAACGCCAACGCAACGCATGTGGTCCGGTCCTTAGTGTCATGCAGTTCGTTTTTCGGCAATAAGTTTTAAAAAAATTAAATTAAATTAAAAAAATACTTTTTATTTTTTTAAACAATAAAAACTAATAAACAAAAGAAATTTACATTTAAAAAATTTAAATAATAAATAAAAAGAAAATAAAGCAAAAAATAAATAAAAGTATTTTTAAAGATTAACAGGGCGATTTTGGCAACTGTCTTGCTACTCACCACAGTCATTCGAAAGACAAAAGTCTTGTCAATTCTATGCTGTTCGCCTTTCAGCAATAAGATTTTATTAATTCCTTTAAATTAAAAACACATAGATATTTCTCTATTTAAAACAAAATTCATATACATATAAAAGAAAACTAAATGAGAAAAAGAAAAAAACTAATCAAAGTACAGGAAATAGTACCTAAAAATTAAATTAGATTAAAAATATTTTTATTTGAAAAAAACAAACGTTCTTAAAACAATGAAATATAAAAATTAAAAGAAAACAAAATTAACAACAGAATAAGAAAATAAATTAAAAGAGAAGAAAGAAATAAAATATTTTTTCTTTTAATCAATAAAATTTAAAAATTAAAAGAAAATTAAAAAGACAAAAAATAACATAATTTCCTAAAAGTTAAAAGTAATTAAAAAAATATTTTTTTTTAAACAATAATATCAAAAAATATAAAGAAAATTAAATCAAGAAAGAAAAAATACATAAAATAAGTATCTAAAAATTAAATGAAATTGAAAAATATATTTTTTCCTTTTTAAACCAATAAATCTAAAACGCAAAAGAAAGTTCAATTTACAAAAATATTACTAAAGAAAGAAAAATTAAAGAAGTTCCGAAAAATTAAATGAAATTAAAAAAAAATAACCGCCTATCGAAAAAAATAACATTTACATATATACAAATTAAATGACATTTAAAAATTTAGAGAATATCAATAATGGAAAAAAGGTACATCAAATAAGTTTCAACAAATAAATAAAATTTAAATATAAATTTGTATTTTCTTTTTAAACCATAGAATCTGAAAACAAAAAGAAGGTTCAATTAAAAAAAAAAAAATTATCTTACTAAATAAAAAAGAACTCGGATATTGCGAATGGCACGCCCTGTTGTTGCGACAACCAATTTCGAGCTAAATGATATACAAGTGCTTTTTCTCAAAATAACTTTTCACCACGAGTGCTGAATGAGAGAGCTTTGTGCTAGAATAACAAAAGTCTTTCGAACTAATTTGCCATCTGTCTTTCATTTGTCTTACGATAGACTTTTTACAATCTTAGCCAGAATTGCCCTATTAAGCTGTAGTTACATTGCCCATAAAGTCATTGAAATGTATTGAAAAATTATGAAAGCCCGTTGTAGAGCAACTGCTGTGTACTTTTGAAGCTGGCATTAAAGATGAAAACAAAGCCAACAAGAACCGATCATTCAATTACCATTGTTAACTCCGAGAAATATCCATACGAATTTTTACTTAATTTATTTACTACTAGTTCCATTTTTGTCAGAAAATTGTGTTAATAGACACGTTTAGAATCTCATCAACCAGTTGGCTATCATCTGCCACTTTCAGATAGGGTTGCCAACCGTACTATAATATATAGTATTGTACTATTTTTCCGATCGGAATACTATATACTATTGGAAAAAAATATAGTACGCGAAAATACTATATTTCTTTAACTTTAAATATAAATGTATTTCAGTAGTTTGCAAGAAAATTTTTTTATTAAAATGGATGACCTTTATACTGAAATAACAATATTATATGAAATAATCAAAAATGGCAACATATTTTTAAAAACAATAAGAAAGAATTAACAAATTGACTTAAATTTATTACTTTTCTACCCTCTATTACCGCAACTTCGGCATTCACACGAAGAACTTTTTCCATTACCTAAAAAGCGTTTTTACTTTTTGTTTTAAATAAAATACCATATATATTTGAAGTGTACAATATTTTTCCGATGTTTTGAAAAAAAAATACTATAAATATCTTAGAAAATGTTAGCAGCCCTACTTTCAGACCAAAAAAAAAGGTAATAAATTCAATTAAGCACTTTTCATGAAATAACTATGAAAAAGTGGCCAATATCGAAGTAAACTCTAATGTCATAATTTAAAAATGCTTACAGCTAAAAACAAAACCACCTGCTTGTACCCGTATTTATGGTTGCAGTTAAAAAGCTTATCTTCCACATTTTATAACGGTACATATTGATAACTTGTGTGAATGACCTACTTTACTGGGCCTACATTTTTTTTTTTTTAACTTTTAATAAAACCTCAAAAAGACACTCGTATGTAGATTAATCAGACATTTCAAAGCACGCGTGCTCCACATTGAAGCACATACATACTTCAGAACAGAAAGAAATGCAGCAGATACTTACATATATATCTAACATTTTTTTATCAAAGACAATTAATTAATAACATTAAAATATTACACTAGTGATTAATTTAACATTTTAACATATCTCAGCACTCACTGTGCCTGAAAACAGACAATAAAAGAAAGCTAGAAAAGCAACTTTAAGCACCAACAATTCAAATAAAAAGTGGCCGATCGTTATCTAGTATTATTTTTACCTCTTCCGAGAAATATCAGAACTATCATTGTGCATGAAGTGTGCATGTTGCTTTTTCATGTTTCAATGGTATCACAGTATCCGTCCGAGCATTGGTGATAAGTGCCATAGTACACTCGTATGATTTTATTATTGGCTTTGATTATCTCATTGCCACTTTGATTTTTTTTTTTACTTCACTGATAAATAGTTTACTGACGGTATACAAAGTAGTAAATGCATATGTACATAAGTAGTATGTATGCACTTGTGAAGTACTGTGTGGCAACTCTAAAATTANACGCGTGCTCCACATTGAAGCACATACATACTTCAGAACAGAAAGAAATGCAGCAGATACTTACATATATATCTAACATTTTTTTATCAAAGACAATTAATTAATAACATTAAAATATTACACTAGTGATTAATTTAACATTTTAACATATCTCAGCACTCACTGTGCCTGAAAACAGACAATAAAAGAAAGCTAGAAAAGCAACTTTAAGCACCAACAATTCAAATAAAAAGTGGCCGATCGTTATCTAGTATTATTTTTACCTCTTCCGAGAAATATCAGAACTATCATTGTGCATGAAGTGTGCATGTTGCTTTTTCATGTTTCAATGGTATCACAGTATCCGTCCGAGCATTGGTGATAAGTGCCATAGTACACTCGTATGATTTTATTATTGGCTTTGATTATCTCATTGCCACTTTGATTTTTTTTTTTACTTCACTGATAAATAGTTTACTGACGGTATACAAAGTAGTAAATGCATATGTACATAAGTATGTATGCACTTGTGAAGTACTGTGTGGCAACTCTACAATTGNATTTTTTTATCAAAGACAATTAATTAATAACATTAAAATATTACACTAGTGATTAATTTAACATTTTAACATATCTCAGCACTCACTGTGCCTGAAAACAGACAATAAAAGAAAGCTAGAAAAGCAACTTTAAGCACCAACAATTCAAATAAAAAGTGGCCGATCGTTATCTAGTATTATTTTTACCTCTTCCGAGAAATATCAAAACTATCGTTGTGCTTGAAGTGTGCATGTCGCTTTTTCAANCATGTTGCTTTTTCATGTTTCAATGGTATCACAGTATCCGTCCGAGCATTGGTGATAAGTGCCATAGTACACTCGTATGATTTTATTATTGGCTTTGATTATCTCATTGCCACTTTGATTTTTTTTTTTACTTCACTGATAAATAGTTTACTGACGGTATACAAAGTAGTAAATGCATATGTACATAAGTAGTATGTATGCACTTGTGAAGTACTGTGTGGCAACTCTAAAATTAAACAGTGGCAACTCGAGTGCTTTGTAAACGAGCC